AGTAAGCCTTAATAGAAGATAATAATCTTATTATATAGAAATTTAGTACTTTATAAAACAGAAATAAGGCTATATTATAATTTATATAGATTATTAATTAGTATTTAAATAAACTCAAATATTATCTTTTTAGAGTCTTTTACTATTATAATTACTAAAATAATAGTATTTTATTTATCTAGATTTTAATAATAGAAATCGGGGCTTTTAAAGAAGCTATAGATATTTATATAAGCCTTTTTATATATATAGCTCGAGAGCTAGTTATTATAAAAGTAGTTTTATACTAGTTCCTTTAATATAATAGGAAAAGCTCTTACTAGTATTTCTTCTAGAAGCTTTATATATTAGTAGATATTAAGAAAAATAATAAGTTTATAATTAAAACTACTATTAGTTCTATTATATTTCTATATTTCGAAATATATCTTTATTACTTCTTTAATAAGTATTCTAGTAGTAATAATAGATATTAATTAATAGAAGGTCGGGTTTAATAGTAATACTAGTAGTAGTAAAAATAGAAGTAGTAAATAGCTTTAATTTAAAAGAAGTAAATAGATAGCTTGATTTCTTAATTAAAAGTATCTAATTCTCTTATATCTAGTTTTATCTAAAGTAAGATAAACTAATATAATAGGTCTCTAAAGAAGATCTATTCTAATTAGACTATTATTAATAATATTAGCTTTATTTTATATATTTTTTATTTCTTTTTAGATAAAATTAATAAAGAATTATATAATAATAAGGTTTCTATAGTTCTATTTAATATAAATACTATTATATTAATATTAGACTTAAAGATTTTATATAAGTATATAATTAATTAGACTATATATTATAGTATTAAAGTTTTTGAAATTATTCTAAAATAGATCTTATAGATTATTATTACTTTTCTATATAAGATATACTAATATATCTTAATAGTTAGATATTTCTAAAGATTAGCCTTTATTATAATTACCGAATTAATACCGTTTTTCTATTTCTTAATTAGCTTCTTTCCCTTATTAGTATTTATACTAAACCGAGTTTAGGTTCTTTCTAGTATATATATATAACTTGTAGTAAAAGAGGTTTAAAGGTAAGATAGTTTATAGTAGGTTTATAGAAAGGATTTAGTAATAAAGATATCTAAATATTTAGATATCTGATTTAGATATTAGGTTCAGATATCTAGTTAAGATACTAGATATCTAATTAAAATATTTAATTAAAATACTAGATATCTGGTTTAGGTATTAGATATCCAGATATCTAGAGATATTAAAAGTATTAAAGTAAATATTTTATTCTTAAATATTTCGTCTATAATAAGAAATTTAGGGAGTGAAATATTATAATTTCAGAAGAGTTTAAAATTTAAAGAATTCGATTTAATAGTAAAATTAAAGTTATAGTTAAAGAGCTTTAAGAATATATATAGAATATATATTCTAGAGAAAGAATTCTATAAATATAGGTATTATATAAATAGAAAAAATAATTTCCAAAAAAGTAATTTTAGAGCTAAAAAAAGTTAGTTTTAAAAGATAATAGAAGTTAAATAAATAGATAATTAAATAGCTAACTATTTATTAATTAGTAAAAGCTAGTTTTTTTTCTATAAGCTACTAAATACTTTTATAAAATTAATAAATAGTTTCTTTCTTTAATATAGAATAAACTAGATTTGTTTTAGGCTACTAAATGCTTTTAGAACTAATCTAAAATCTTCTCTAATTTATATATATAAATAAATCTTAATAGTAAGCTACTAGATCTTTCTAATTTAGATATCTACTAATTAGTATTAGTTTACTAGTAATATATAATACTATTATATAAATATAAAATATTATTTATATAAGGTTAATAAAGTTATTATTATTTAGAAATAGAGAATATAGTATTATAGTATTAATATATAACTTCTAAATCTGCTAAGTCTAATAGGGTCTAGTTTACTAGTCGAGTTATCTATAGAATATAAGGTTATATAACTATATCCCGTATCTTATATTCTATTACCTATATCTTATATCTTATATCCCGTAACTATATATATAATTCCTAAAGAAATAGCTATACTAATAAATATAATATATAATATATATAAAATATTTAGTATATAAGTTAATAAAGTAATTAATATTTAGAAGTAAGAATTATAGTATTATAATACTAATATATAATTCCTAAATCTACTAAGTTTAATAGAAACTAGTTACTAGTCGAGTTATTTATAGAATATAAAGTTATATAACTATATCTTATATTTTATATCTTGTAATTATATATATAACTTTTAAAGAAATAGTTATACTAATAGTAATAATTATAATAATAATTTAATATATTTAATATTATAAAATAAATTTGAAATAAATTTCGCTTTATATAAGCTTTTAATATATTATAAAAAAAACAAATAAAAAACAAAAAAACTTAAATAATTTTTTTATTAATTATTACTTTAAAATTAAAGAATATAATCTTTTTATTAAATATTAGAGATTTTAATAAAGAAGTTTAAATTACTATTTTTAATAATTACTAAAATATTAATAAGTTTCTTTTAATTTTATATATTATTTATTCTTTAGCTTTATTTAAAATTATTATTATTATTTGTATTTATAAAAAAAATATTAAATTTTAATAAAAATAAGTTTTTATTTAATTTAAAATTTAAGAATATATATTAAATTTTTAGCTTTCTTTTTCTTTAAATTATAAAAAAGACATACTATTATTTTATATAGTTATTTAATAATTAATTATTTAATATTATAAATTGAACTAAATTTTAATTAAATACTAGTTATAGTTATATATTTATTATAAATCTTGGTTTCTAGATTATGAGCTTACTACTAAAAAAAGTTAATGGTTTTAGTAATATTCTCAGACCTTATAAAGCTAAAGTTGCTTACTTTACTTTATAGTTTTATAATTACTATAGATTATAACCTTATATAATTCAAAAACACGCGATAAAAGAAGCCGAAATAAGTTTAGAACGCTTATAAAATTAAAGCGTCTTAAATAGTTACATTGTTCATTTCTTAGCAAAGTACGCTAAAATCACAGACTTTTGTCGGCAGGCTTGTTAGCCTAGCCCCTGATCGATAGCCCCAATTGACACTCCCGGGGGGATTGTTTTACGTTTTCCCCCATCGGCCCTACTCTGACCCACTATTGCGCCCATGACCATCCGGAGATTCTACAAGAGCTGGCACAACTACTAGGCGCTGCAAAACGTCTGGCAAGTCTGGATGACCTGGCACAAGTCGTGTCTTTTCTTGCTAGCGGCGCAAGCCGCTCATCAGGCTGGGTAAATGGGGGTGTAATACAGGTAAATGGGGAATTAACTATGGGTAACCATATTCATCCAAGCAATACGCTGTGAGATCCTTCGTAGATAGGTATCTGTTCAGCTGCGGCCATAAGCGCAATTCCATGATCAATCATACTTCAAAATTAGAGAGAATCAGAAGTCGTATAATCGAGGGTCAGGACTTGCACCAAAGCCCCTACGTCCCTACGGGTTTAGTGCGTATCAGCAATATGGTCATGTATCAGCGATACGGTCATTTTTGTGATAACTTCCACAATTTCACAAAATTGAAAAATTGAAAGAAGCCAAAAATTGCGCAATTATCGGGCGTACCTCTATATAAACTTTTTTTTAACATCTTGTATTACGTTGCGAGGTTATTAAAAATTCTAGATTTTTTTTGTTAGGGAAAAAAAGCGACCGTATCGCTGATTTTTGACCGTATTGCTGATACGCACTAAACCCGCAGGGACGTAGGGGCTTTAGTGCAAGTCTCGACGCACGATTATCGAGAACTAGAAATTATGATTCGCTGCAAAAGCTCGCTTAAGCACGCGCGGACCAGTGCGCACCGGGCCGCAGCTGCAGCTGCAGGGATAGACAGACGACTCGGATGCTCCGCATCAATCTTCCCTCGTTTAACCGAAAGGCTCCCTTGTCAACATCGTATAGAGGTTTCAGATATCTGAATCAGGTCGGAGACAGGAGTGTAATCAGAACATTTATCATGGTCTAAATCGAACCGTTGTGGGAGATAGGGCGAAAAAGCGCTGCGACTATAGAAAAGAGTAAGAATTAGCTATTATTACTGGAAATAGAAGGCCTGCTTTGATATAACTTTTATATTTAAATATATTATGGACCTTCTCTTGCTTTATAGAATGATATGTGATATTCACAAAGCCGTGAATTTGAAATTTATGTGCGACGGCTCGTTCTCGTTATTGCCTGTCAGTCAAGGTCAAAGCTAAGAAGTCAACCACCAGAAATTTGGCAGATTCGATGTAGTCTTCTTGGATTACATGATTGTTCGCTGTTATGTTGAATTATAGAAAAGTTAAAATTATACCAGTAGGGTTAACGATTAGACTAAGTGAGGATCAAAATTGCGGCGAAACTAATTTTAATTAAGATAACTTTAAGACGTGCGCATGTGTACAGCCACAAATCTTGCAGTAAAAAGTTTTGGCTTTTCGGCTGGAATTCACACCCGGAGACCCGGAGGGGATTTGATTTTTGTCTCGGCTTAAAACCCCTAACTTGAAGGTCTATTACGAATTGGGTTGTAGCCAAAAGTGTAAACAGTTGTCAGACTGTGAGGTGTAGGCGCGTCTTGAGGGGGAAGGTGGGGAGTACTTGCAGCGGATAATCAGATTTATCAGTGGCATTTGCAGGCGCGTCTTGACTCTCGAGGAGGAAGCCGGAAAGCCTTTGCAGCGGACAAATGCCAAAAAAAGAGCGTGTCCCTCAGGGGAGAGGGCACCTAGTCAATAAATTCGGGGACCGCCGGATGGGAGCTGTCGCGTGTCCAAAGGGGGGCGGGAGGTTGTTGGACCTGGACAGTACGGAGCACAGCGTTGTCTGTTTCGACATGTCTAAGTGCTGTGTAGAATTCCTTCATTCTTCTCTGTGCAACTTTGTAAGAAATTTCCAACCCCCAGGCCACTTCTCAGTCATGTCGTCCGGAACAGCAAAGGCCTTCAGCAAGAAGTTTTCAGAGCTCCGCTGCTCACGCACTTTCATCATCTGCACAGTTGCCATCGCAGTGTTCGTAGACATGTTTCTATATAGTCTTATTATTCCTATCCTACCTACTCTGCTCACCGAACGGGCACAAGTCACCTCGAGCAAAGTCCAAGTTGCTCTTGCCGGCCTTCTTGCCGCCTATAATGTCGCGATCGTCATCTGCGCTCCCATTAGCGGCTATTTTGCAGACAAATGGTCTAATAGAAAGATGCCACTATTAGGTGGTTTGTTCGCCCTAGCTGGTGCGACGGTCTTATTTACATTATCAAAGAACCTGGGCCTTCTCTACCTGGCACGCATACTCCAAGGAGTTTCCGCATCAATCGTCTGGGTTGTTGGGCTCGCCTTGCTCGTCGATGCCACTGGCTCAGAAGACATAGGCTCTGCAATGGGCTGGATCTCGCTAGGGCTATCTCTTGGGGATACCTGTGGGCCACTTATTAGTGGCGTTGTGTATGAGCGAGCTGGCCACTATGCGGCATTCAGCGTAGCCTTTGCTGTAATCACCGTGGATATAATCCTCCGATGCCTTCTTCTTGAACCTCAGTCACAAGATGCCTCAACGCCGGAGGAGGTTCAGCCAGGTCAAGATTCGGCACCCCAAAGCATAGAGTCCTATGTCTTAGAGGGCAGGTCGAACAGATCAGCAGAAGGTGTGCCCCAGCTTAGCGACAATGAGTCCGGACTCGAACACCGGCAGGAGAAAGACGTTCCTCAAGGGTCCTTCAACATCTTCAAACTCCTCAAATACCCCGACATGCTTTGCAGCCTCTGGTGTATTTTTATGATCACGGTTGTGCTGACTGGTCTTGAAGCTGTAAGCGGACTACATTACTTCCAGACCAACTTGATTACAGGGACAAGCTAATATGTGTACTCTAGGTCATACCATTACACATTGAGTTGGCTTTTGGGTGGTCTTCTCAAGGCGCCGGTCTGATTTTCGTCTCGCTCGCAATTCCAATCTTCCTAAGTCCACTTATCGGCATGCTATCTGATCGCTTTGGCTCTCGTCCACTATCTGCAGCCGGACTCCTCCTGGCAACAGTCTTTGGGCCACTTTTGGCTCTCATTCGGTCTTTCAGTGTCGGCCGGGTCGTCCTCCTTGTGTTCTTTCTTGTGGTTATCGGACTAGGTATTAGTCTGGTTATGACACCTGAAATGGCCGTAATTTCGATATTTTCCAACTCCAAAGCGAAAGAAAAGCCCAACGAGTTTGGTCCAGGAGGCGCTACTGCACAATGCTGCGCCTTAACGACCATTGCAACTGCTACGGCAGGTTCAGTCGGGCCTCTTATTGCGGGTACCATCCAGTCGATTTCAGGGTGGACTGCAACATCTATAGCGGTTGGGGCATTTGCCGCTCTCGGACTCGTCCCTGTCCTCCTCAAGGCGACTTACGACCGGAGTTTTAGTCAGCCAAAGGCCGAGGACACAGCTACAAGTTCTGCAGAGACAAGAGATATCGACACGACAAGGGCGCCTATGTGGGGCAGTAAGTGAGGCAGAAATGCGTGATCAGAGAAATGTATCTAAATAGATTTTATTTTCCTTCATGGTCGACAATTCAGGGCATTTCCTTCAAAATCTGTACCTCTCATTAAACAAATCGTGATAAAATATCGTGACATTTTATAACCAGAATACAGTAATACAAATCAAAGATGCACTAACTTATCTTTATCTCGTTGACCAGATTATACATAATTCCAGTGTGGTGGCGTTGCCCTACGTAATCCCCAAAACTTAGAGTTTTTGGAGTGCTTCGGCTCTGCGTAAATAGCGACGACTGGCAGCGAGCGACGGGAGAGTCAGCCCGGGTGGCTAGGGAAAGAGAGACAAACTCGTTGGCCAGAGGCGGCTCAATGCTTCTTGGTGCTTCTGAGGGTGAAAAAAGGATAGGAAGTGACAACATAGTACATTATCAATATTTCCGAGGGAATATAAGGATGCTGAGAAAGGGCCAGGTTCATCTCTCGAGTGGGGTATGCCTTGAGAAATTGAATAAAGTTGTTTTTCGGGGGAGGATGGGGGTTAGGTTTTGGACCGGTGAGAGCCGGTTCGATCTCCCTGGACATAGTCGTGTAAAGTTGACGACATTCGCAAGACAGAGGCAAATAAGAGGGAACGTGACTGAAAATGAGAAGCAGCAACTGAACAACCTGCGTAGAGGTGAGGCGAGGGTGTGCAGCACCTGAGAGGGGCGATAGTGCGTTGGAAGGAAGGGAGGTACAGACAGATTCGGCTGAGAATACCCCTGCAATCCCACCCTCTGGTTGACCATAGCGACCAAAAGGGTCAATGCCTAATTTTCGCCATTTTCGCCATTTTTCTAAGGCCATACATAATTATTTTGACCCCATTATCTGAACTATACTAAACAACTATATGATTCACAGCTTTATATAACTATTTCTAAGGCCCCAGCTAATTATTTTAGCCCTATAGTCTGAACTATACTAAATAACTATATGATTTATAGCTTTATGGCCCTATTTCTAGGGCCCTAGCCAATTATTTTGCCCGTATTATCTGAACTATACCAAATAACTACATGATTCACAGCTTGATTTATAGCTTAATCTAAATTGTTCAGGCTTTTATTTGAGTCATTTTTGGCCCTAGATATCTATAAAATAGGCCCTCAGCTCCTAATCCTCCCTCTAATTTCCTTATATATATACTTATATACTTTCTCTCCTTATATATACTTTATATATAATACTTTATATATAATACTTTATATATAATGCTTTATATATAATGCTTTATATATAATGCTTTATATATAATGCTTTATATATAATACTTTATATATAATACTTTATATATAATACTTTATAAATAATACTTTATATATAATACTTTATATATAATACTTTATATATAATACTTTATATATAATACTTTATATATAATAACTTTATATATAATACTTTATATATAATACTTTATATATAATACTTAATATATAATACTTTATATATAATACTTTATATATAATACTTTATATATAATACTTTATATATAATACTTTATATATAATACTTTATATATATATAATAGTAGTTCAAGCTTAATAAGATCTAGTTATCTAAACTTATATAGATATCTCTAATAATATTTAGTACTTTCTTTATATAGGAGGAAATAAGCTCTAGCCCTTAGTTATTAATAGTAGCTCTTAATAGAAGTATATCTTTAATATTAATAATTCAGAACCTTTAAATATTATAATTAAGGGTTCCTATATTACTATTATTTTTAATATCCTACTTCTTTCTAAGGCTATTAATATAATCTTAATCTAATAAATATAAGTTACTTCTCCTGAATTTATATAATCTATACTAAGTAATATAATAGCCAAGTTAATATTCAAACTTCTTATACTACTTACTAAAATAGTTAAGGCATTTTTAAGAAATATTTAAGGATTCCTAAAAAAGAGTAATATAAAATATATTATGATTCCCAGATACCAGATGCCTCCTAGACGCACGTGACGCGGCCGCCTCGCTAGGGAAGTATGCTTGGAATATACTAGAGATATTTAAAAGGCTAAGCCCCTTCGGGACTAGTATACTATAGGATATATATATTTCCTCGAAGCCTCCTATATTCTAGTTTTCTCTTCCTTAGCTTTGAATTATTTTTATAAGGGACCTTTTACCTTGCTTTTTAAGCCCTAAATACCGTACCCGTAATAGTATTTAAAGCTTACTTCCTTTAATCCTATAGAGGATTTTAAATAAACCAATTTAGAACTATTAGAAATATAGGTATTACTAAGATAATAGAACCTCAGAAACTCGAGTAATAAACTCCAGAATAATAAAAAGCGAAAAGCTTTAGAATTCTTAGAAGAATTAAGTATTTATATCTTTATAAATATATGCTAGTAGCGTGTTAGAAACCCCCCCGAAAACCCGAAAAATTAAAGAACCTCGAATAAAGGCTATTCTTTAACCAAGTTCTAGAGTAATAGGCACCTATAGGCCAGTAACCTAATTACTACTCTTAAGCCCTACCCTATAACCTCGTAGGCCCTATATATATACTAGTAACGAGACTATTAGGGAGGATATAATAGAGGAAAAGTATAATAGGTTAATTTCCCAGGATACTATATAACCAGGAACTATATTAATTTCTGCCAAGGCTTCCGGTAAAGCTCTTACTAGTTTAGGTTGTCCCGTTAGCGGCCCTTTCCGAACCGAATATCCCGTTAGTATTTCTAGAGAATTTATAAATAAGTCTATAGAAATAGAACTCTCTGCTTTTATTATAAAGCTTCTAGAAACTAATAATTATATTACTACTAGAGAGTTATATAAATAGGCCAAGGAACCTAATACCTTACTTTCAGATATTAATATTATTATAAAGAGCTATCGGGAGAATATTTAAAGAGCTATTTCTTATAAGAATACCTATAGTTATAATAAAGCTATTCTCGAGAATACTAAGCTTTATAATACTAAGCTCGAGAACAAAGTCAAACGCTATATAGCTATAGTAAATCGGCTTATAGTAGCTCTAACTACTTTTACTTTGCCTGCTCTAACTACTCCAAATCTCTCTCAAAAGAATTCCGAACTATTTCCTACTTATTCCTGTCTAGGATCCCCTATATCTCACGCTTTCTTTAGAGATACTAGAGTTACTAAGCTCCTAGATTTAATTCTCTTTACTAGAAATTATACTATCTTTAATAACTAGCTAGTTCAGATTAAGAATAAGCTATAAGGAAATACTAACTTATATTTTTTAAAAGATCTCAAGATTATCTATATTTCTAGTAAACTTACTAGTAATACTCTCGTCCTAACTAATCCTTATATAAATAAAGATAGTCCGAATTAGTACTATTAGCTCTCAGAGTTCTACTCTTACCTAAAGGAGCTATACTTTAACTCTAATAAGATATAGAATACTTACTATAACTTTGGCAAGCTTTAAATACGCTCTAATTAAGTATTTTAGGAGTTCTATACTCTTTTCTTATAACTATCTATAGAAGGCGGTATTAGTTTTTAAGATATTAAGTATAAACTAAATAAGAAGCTTTTACTAAAGCTCCAGGAATTAGTATATATATACTATAATAATTTATTTATTAATACTACTTGCTTTACTTAATACTATATTACTAATAATTAGTAGATTAAGGCTATATATAAGAAGACTAAAAAGTATAAGAAGGCAGGAGCTATTCTAGCCAAGTTTACTTCTAGTACTATATTCCCGTATATTTCTAAGAAGTATATTCCTAAAAAAGAGCCCAAGAAACCTATATTAATTACTTTTATTAAATATATACTCCCTTATAAGCACAAGTAATATCCTATAAAAACCAAGGATCTCTTAACTATTAAGTACTATAACTATAATAAGTTCGGCCACTATACTAGATACTATCTGCTTTCATATAGTAAGGAAACCAAGGTAGCTCTTTCTAGAATTAAGCCAGGCTTAGTTCCTATTTTACTAGAGTATACTATTTAAATAGAGTATTCGGAGGATTCGAGCTCTAATTCTGATATAGAACCGGGAAATAAGTATTTCTAAAGAAAGTCTCTATTTTAGGGGCTTATAGTATGAATTTAGTAAAGATTAACTTGACTCGTCTAATAGGAGGAAATGCTCTTATAATACCCTATATTATTAGTATAAATAGATTAGGAATTAAGTCTTTTTCCCTTATTAATACTAGAGCTAATAGTTATGCCTTTATTAATATAAAGCTTACTTAGCTTATAAAGTAATTTTTAGGAATAGAACTATAACTTCTTCCCTTACCCTATACTATATATAGTTTTAATAGAAAGCTAACTAAGTCTACTAAGAAATATATAGAAGTCTTATTTCTAATTAATAAATAAAGTATTAATATATCTATAATTATTCTAAATCTTAGAGATTATAATATTATTCTTAAAAGAAAATAGGTAATATATATTAATATTCTAGTTAATTATAGAAGATATAGGCTTATATAACTAAAGAATAAGCCTAAATTTATATAATTTAGTTATATTATTAGTATTTTATAGTAATAGCTAGAGAAGTAACCTAATAAGAAGTATTAAAAGAATACTAATTAATAAGATTCTATTATAAGCTATTTCTGGAAATCTTCTATTCTAAAGCAGTCTTTCTTTTTTTGGACTAATTAGAGGAAATCATATAATACTATAGAAAAGAAGCTTCTATAACCTAATTAAAATATAATACCTAAGTAAAAGCTAAAGAAGCGGGAAGAGATCCTTAATAAGAAGTAAATACTAGATCTAGCTATTCTTATCTCTATAATATTTAACTATATAGCCAAGAGAAAAAAGAGTATTATTAGCCAAATCTCTATTTACGAGATTAATAAAGAGCTTAAAGCTCGGGAAAGAAAAGCTATTCCTGGTCTAGAGAATTAATAACCGGAAGAAATAAAGCTTTAGTAGCTCTAGAGAATATTATCCCCGGAACTTAAGAAATATGCCTCTATT